GTATTTTAAGATGTGTTTTTACCTGAATGTAAATCTATATATATATATATATATATATATATATATATATATATATATATATATATATATATATATATATATATATATATATATATAAGTACGTGAGAAGAGAGGAAATTGAATGAATCAATTGAATGAATGATGTAAGAGGTGCATTACAAAGAAAAATGCATATTCTATTTATACAATTCAAAATGAGCGACGTAAGTGGCATGCAAATTGAGGAGAGCTGATTTCGGAGAACGTGCAAGGTGGACATGCGGACATGGAGCATGCACTGCCAACAGAGAGGGAAAATGTCTTCATGGATATGAGCCACATATTTATGTCCTAACAGAGATAATGGAATCGTTAATCTTATTAGTTATTCTAAGAACCATATGGATGTCCAAGTTAGGTAGCCTGGCAGTGATCCTTGGAGATTGACATGTTTCTATGGTTTGGTTTCATGAGAGAGGTCATAGACAACAGTCTTGGGATCTTTTGTGATCTCTGAAGACAAGTGGCTTGTAGTTGGAGACTTTAATGATATTACATCACCAAATGAGAAGCGGGGTATCCATCTACATCCTACTTTTCTAATGGATGGGTTCAATTCGGCTATAGAGATTGTGGGTTGTTCGACCTTGGGATGAGGGGCGGCAGTTTACATGGGAGCGAGGTCTGGGGACGGAATATTGGTTGAAGAGCGACTCGATAGAGCGATTACGATGGCGGATTGGTGTACGTTGTTTCCCCAGGCAACAATACATAATTATGATGTGGTAACTTTAGACTATACAGCCATTTTTGTCGAACTTGAGGGGCCCCAAATTGCTAGACAAAGAAGACATTTTCTATTCGAAAAATGCTTGGCTACGGGAGGTGGGTTATAAAGAAATTGTCTTAAAACTCCTGGAATTTATCTACTAGTGACTCTTTACTAAGCCGATTACATCAGTGTGGCTTAGCATTAAAGAAATGGGGTGGAAATTTTGCAAAGCAAGTGGAAAAGGAAATGGCGTTACTGCATAATCGCATGAATGGACTTCGTGATAAGCGGGATGCTATCTCTCTTGCTACATTTAAAGATTTGGATAGCAGGCTCAAAGTTTTAGATGAGGAGCTAAATATTTTTTGACGACAGAGAGCCAAACAATATTGGCTATTAAATGGAGACGGGAACACCAAATTTTTTCATCTTTATGCCTCCGCTGTAAGAACGGAATTATGAAGCTTCAAGATGAGAATAATCAAATGGTTGAAGGTGATGGTCTTCTTGGGTTGGCAACACGTTATTTCCAGACTGTGTTTACATCTAAAGGGGTACATATGGATGACGCTCTTGATGACTCTATTCCGAAAATAACTTAGCCGGATAATGAACATCTGCTACGACCGTTTACGTTCGATGAAGTAAAGGAAGCCCTCTTTTTAATGGCACCAGATAAGTCACCCGGACCTGATGGGTATAGTCCGACCTTTTATCAGCATTTTTGGAAAGAAATTGGCGTATACGTGGCGCATTTCGTTCTCAATTGTGTTAATAATGACAATTTTTTCAGAGGGCATGAACGATGCATACATTACCCTAATTCCTAAGAAACCGAATCTGGCAACAATGGGTGATTTACGACCAATCGCCCTCTGTAACGTGACATATAAGATTCTCTTAAAGATGGTGGCGAATAGATTGAAAGGTATCCTTGATGGTGTGATCTCTACTACTCAGAGTGTTTTCATCCCCGGACGACTCATAACCGATAATGTTCTTGTGGCTACAGAAGTTATTCATTATTTAAACCAAAAGCGTGATGGTCGGGAAGGTTGGTGTGCGCTGAAGCTGGATAAGGCGAAGGCGTATGATAAAATGGAATGGCCATTTTTAAATAACATCCTGAATCGCATGGGCTTTAATCCCCGGTGGATAAATCTTGTGATGCGTTGTGTGCCAATAGTTAGGTATAAGGTAATAGTGAACTGGGGCCTAAGGAGTTTTATTCTGCCCAGTTGTGGTTTGCGACAAGGTGACCCAATGTCGCCATATTTATTCATTATGTGTGCAGAAGTCATCTCTTACCTCTTGTCTGGAGCTGTTCGTCGGGGTGTTCTTTCGCCTTGTGTGGTAGCTAGAGGGGCTCCCGGTATTAGCCATTTACTCTTTGCGGATGATAGCCTCCTCTTTTTAAAAGCTACAGTTTGGGAGGCAGAATCTGTTAAAAATTGCCTTGTGTTATATGAGCGAATGTCTGGGCAGTGTGTAAATTTCAACAAAGTCATGTATAGTCTTCAGTCGAAATACTGGTGATGGTGCCCGAAATGCAGTTGCGAATGTGTTCAATGTTCAGCAAACTCCTAATATTGGGCGATACTTAGGCTTACCTATGGGCATTGGTATAAATAAAAAAGAAATCTTCTCTTATATTGAGTCTAAGTTGAAACAGCGCCTGGGAGGATGGAATAAAAAGTTTTTTGTCAAGAGTCGGAAAAGAAGTGTTATTGAGGAGTGTTGAACAAGCTCTCCCTACTTACTCCATGAGTATGTATTATCTCCCGAAAACTTTCTACGAGCGAATAGAGCGGATGATGAACAAATATTGGTGGGAGTCCAGTGGCAATCGAGGAGAAGGAATCTGTTAGAAGGCCTGGGGTAGTATGTGTTCGCCAAAGTGGATGGGCGGGCTTGGTTTCAAAAGGCTAAATAAGTTTAACGTCGCATTCGTTGCCAAACAAGGGTGGAGATTGCTTCAAAACCCATCATCGCTATCTGCCAGGTTACTCAAAGCCAGATACTATCCTGAAGGAGATTTTTTGAATGCAATGATAGGCGCTAATCCCAGTTACTGCTGGTGTTCCATCGTAGCAGGCCAGGAGTTACTCCGGAGAGGGTGTTATCATCGTATCGGGAATGGTCGTACAACGTCTATCTAGAATTAGTCGTGGCTTCCAGATGTTGCAGCAGCGTATATTCAGACACCGATGGCAGATCATGATCAAGGGATGAAGGTTAGTGCTCTTATACATCCTAATTCCCATGATTGGAATATTGATATGTTTAATGCCTTGTTTCTACCTCGGGATGTTGGGCTTATCTTGAAACCACCTGTTGCGAAAGATTATGATGATGCATGGTGTTAGCGCAGAGATATTAGAGGAATGTATTCGGTGAAACATGGTTATCACCTGCTAACTGGTTTATATGATAATGAGTTGATGGTGGGTGGCGTTTGGAACTGTGTTTGGAAATTCAAGATCCCACCAAAGGTTCATAACTTTTGGTGGCGTTGTCTACATAATGTCATTCCTACGCTGGTTGCTCTTCAAAGCCGGAGGGTGGAGGTTGACGCTGCTTGTCCTTTATGCCAGCAGCAACCGGAATCTCTGAGCCATTTGATATGTGGTTGTGAGAAGGTGAGTCCTTTGTGGCATGAGCTGCTTAATTATCCCCTCCCTCAGGTTGATGACTTTGGTGTATGGTTAATTGGGATTTTGACAACTGATGACATAGAAAACAAAATTTTGGTTGCTGCTGTCTGTTGGTGTATTTGGATTGGAAGAAATGAGTTGGTTTGGAATGCTAAACAATGGCAGTATTCACTCGTTAAAATGGAGGCTATACGACTGGTTCAGGCATGGAATGAAGCAAATATGTCTATGTTGCATGGTAGAGTTCAAATGGCTCCAAATATTTCAATTTTCTCAGATTTGGGAGATGTTGCCAAGGTTTTTGTTGATGCTGTCGTTTTTGAAGGGGATGGCTAGACTTATTTCGGTTGTGTCGTCTTTGCAAGCGATGGAAGTTATGTGGGGGCGAAGAACGACCCAATTCAATGTCTAAATGATGTACACTTTGCAGAGATAGGGGCGGTAAAAGAAGTTTGATCTTGGGTTAAATAGCTAGGCTGCACCAAGGTTGCCATTCTATCCGATTGCCAGATGGTTTGTATTCTCTTTAATGGCTTTGGATTTAATTTCTCGTATTCAAGTTGTGCGATCGATGCTTGTAAGGAGTTTTGTAGACACTTTGAAGTAATGTCTTTCAATTATATCTCTAGATCAGTGAATAAGTGTACTCACGTTATAGCTAGAACATCTTTTTCGCAATCTAGTCCTTCTATTTGGATTTCATCTATTCCGTCTTGTATTGAACATTTAATTTAATAAAAACTTATCTTTCCCTTTTTTTTTAAAAAAAAATAAAAAAAAATAAAAAGAAAAGAAAAACATGGTTGCAATAGGCGCTAGGCGCTAGTCGGGCGCCCAGACAGCGCCTAGCGCTTAGGCGGTCTAGGCGGAATCTAGGCGGCGCTACGCGGGCGCAAAAAAAAACAGTGATAGACTTGCAGTTTGACAATTTTAATGAGATTGTTTTTAACATTTAATCAAATAACACATCCAAATAAATGAATTAATAATAATTCATAAGTCATAACATCAAAACAATGGTTCTCAGAAAAAAAAAAAAACATTAAAACAATATTAAAAATTAAAAATACTCAAATATGAAATACTCAAATACTTCATTCATCCAAAGATTCAAAGTATCAAACTAATCTACGAGTGTATATATGTCATATTATATATATGTATGCGCGCGTGCACATACACATATATAATAAAAAAAATAGGCCTAGCTGATCGGGTTAACTCGATCGAAATGGACGAGTTAACTCGACTAATTTAGACGCTAGGCGGCCAAATCGGCGCTAGGCGACCGGTAACCTAAGCGGACGCCTAGGGGAGAAATCGCCACGGTCTAGAGGCGTCTAGCGTCTAGACAGGACCCTAGGCGGGCGCCTAGACCGATTTTTACAACCCTACTTTAAAAAGTTGGATACAGAGATTTTTTTTTGAGAGGAAGTTGGATACACGGATTAATTATGTAATTATAAAAAATATTAGGGGTGTTAATGCATTGTCAAGAAACTTAAACCCTCAAGGCCTCAATTTGAAGCCAAAAATGTAAACGGACAATTTTTATTTTTTTTTTTTATAAAGGAAATAGAATTGTTGAACCCTAAATCGAGTAAAGTTCTTCTTTCATCTCTCATTCCTTTTCCAGAGAGCTGGTGCCGCCTCGCCGGCAATCATACACCGACGAGTTCTCTACATTGGAGTCGTCGGGCGACTAGGAGTTGAACAAAGATAGGGTTTTCACCGAGGGCAAGAGTTCCGGCGACCCAAAGGCCCACTACTGAAACTGTTTGCTCCGAAATGTAATTTACTCAATCTTCTCCTCTTGACATTCTATGCAGTTGATTCTTTATTTTTATATTTTCATACTCTTTTTGTTTTTAAATGAAATTTGCTTGTTTGTGTGTAGTTGTAAGGATTCCCCATTTTAATTGCGCTTTGTAGGATCGAAATAATTAGTGGTGCCAAACAACTTGGAGCTTTTGATCAGACTAGAAAACTGGTTGGTTAATGCTCTACCTGGTGTTTTAGTTGGATATATCATTAAACACAATCATGGAATTCAATGAAAATGCCATAAGAATTACTACTGATAAAAGGACTTTTCTTTAGGAGTCATTCTTCTAGTTCCTCTGCGGTTTTTTTGTAACAGTCATTCTTTAGTCTAATTCACCTGCCAATTCCCACAATTTGTTGTTTGGTTGAATAGTGTGGGCCTTTTACCTTTGCTGATAATATTTTGGAATTGATACATTTATACTGTTAGTTTGAGAATTATTGCCTTCTCATACTTATACAGTATATATAAGGAGTATACTAAGAGAGTTAGAGGTTATGTTGCTTAGGTTTATATGTTTGCTGTTAGTTGGTTTTGACTAGATCAAAAACTAGCAAGTTTGAATGTGTTTGTGACAATATTGTAGAAGACGCTAGTCGGGCGCCTAGGCGGGCAAGTAATAATAGTAAATAAAATAGTAAATAAAACACATCAATGTACACGTTGCACACCTAAAGAGAAAAAAACACTTGGCCGCCTAGTTTGGCCGACTCAGGCGCTGGGTTGGGCGACTCGGGTGCCTTGGCCGCCTAGTCTACTGATTAATGTTCGCCTAAGGGTAAAATCCCCTCGGCCTGGGGACGTCTAGGCGGCCGCTTAGGCGGATTTTTGCAACAGTGGTTTGTGATGATTCCTATGTTCCCGGGTATTTGTTGTACGTTTCAATTGAAACCCTATGGGAGATTCAGCCTTGCATATTCGAGGAAATATTAAGGTGTTTAGATAACTACTATCTTAGATTCCTCCTTATTTTCTTGTTTATGTTTATTATTATCTTCTGCAGAGTAATATCTTTGCCAGAACAAGCTTGACATCTTGAGTTTGAAACTTTTATCCGGTTATAACTTTTGTGAATGGAGACCATCCAAGGAGCGGGCACTCAAGTTCAGGATGTAAGCTCGAGTGGGCCTGAGCAAAACAACTCTACCGGTCATGTGGCCAGTGTCAAGAAGCTCTTGCATCGTAGAATGTTGGTTGGTGTGAATGATGGCCGGTTCTTTGCAGGCTCATTCTATTGCCTTGATAAGCAAGGAAACATCATTCTTCAAGACGCGGTTGAATACCGTAGCACCAGACGCTCTTCCCCTTCCCCGATAGAACAGCGAGGTCTTGGTCTCATTCTCATCCCTTTCTCGTGTCGGACTTCATGTCATGTGGATTGCTCCATTGAAGAACAGCTGTCTCTCATATCCTTGCATGAGCAGAACTCATAGTAGTGAATGCAGGTTGCTCTCCAACATATCTTCAAATTAAACAATTTTTCCCCCATTTCTTTTCTAATTTGTTTACAGAAATCTTCAAATTAATCAATTTTCCCATTTCTTTTCTAATTTATTTGCACATTGTTGTGTATATGACAGCAAGACATTGTGGCTTTGTGTTTTTCCTATGTGTATTGTCCTCCAGTCTCTACCAAGACTCTTCTGATGTAAACATTCCATATTTGCTTTCAATATATCCCAATGCTTTTGGTAGGTAGTTGCATAATTACTTGATTAGTGATCACAAAAGTTATGTTTTTTCCTTTTTTGATACAATAATTTCTTTTGAATTTGAGTTTCCATTAAATATTATTAGGATACGAGTCAAATAGACGCTTCAACTATAGACCAAAATGTAATTAAATCCATTTAACTAAAAAAAGATCGAATTAGACGACACTTTTTTTTTTAGTACTACAGACTCTAGTTGTGACCAACTGAACCATAAAGAGTCAATACTTAACTCCACATTTTTATGTAATTTAGCAAATAACTTTTTAAAATTTGTACAAGAAGCATGTTAAGGAGCATATCCCTTTTTTTTTTTTTTTTTTTTTAATGCAAAAGGAAGAAAATCTCCACAAGCCTTGTAGCAAGTTGGCTCCATAAGTGAACCCACCTTGCTAATCCATTCTCATATTGTCTTCATTCCAAGAAGGATCCATTGCAACATTCTGGATTCAGTTCAATGATCCATCAAAGTAGCAAATACACACATAAACACAGCACAAAATAAACCTAACGATTTTTTTTTTTTTTTCCCAAAAGAAAAGAAAAAGGCAACTAGACTGACTAGTCCGCCAAGAGCATAGTGTTCATGCAATAAAGCAAAGTGTGTTTACAGGAAAAATCATTGAGTTAGCAAAGTGTGTTTACAGGAAAAATCATTGAGTTTCGGTTAACTGCTAGCTAACAATTTATTTCGTACATGGGATTGGATGCATCAACTCTGTAACTAGGAGATGCACCGGGACAATGGGTGAACCTCAAGCGTTCAGTGAAAAGCCCTAACATCAATTTCGATTACTATCCAGTATCCAAGGAAATGAGTTAGGAGGCTAGGATGTACCTGCATCTATTTGAAATTCAAGTGCAATAGATCTTCAAAATCTATCTTTGTAAGCTGTTCCATACACGATCAAGTAAGGTACGGTTCGTACAACTGTGTCTACTGGTATGGCAAAATTAACTCCCGAGGACATTCCTGAACCTGTGCCATGAGTCAAATGAAATCAAGAGGACCGAACAGGCTCTGATACGATGTTATAATCTAAGATTGCGCCAATGTCGCTCAATCGGACTATATGGGTCAAACTACGCTAAAAGACTGAACCCAATCAATTAGCTAGTTTAATCCATGGCCTTATAAAACCCATATGTTCTCTCTCATTTTTTTTTTTTTTTAATGTGGGAGTCTTAACAATAACATTTCTGCTGTCAGAAACTCAGAATTATTTGCTATACATCGATTATTAGCTCATAAAAAATTACCATGAGAAGAAACAGGGTAACAGATCCTTTTACCTTTGCGAGTGAACGTGGCTGTATTTACTCCAACAACATGGCCGTCTGAATCAATCAATGGGCCGCCAGAATTCCCTGATTATGCAACTAACAATTAGAAACGAAGTACAACGATAATCATAGGTCTGTTACATTTCTCAATTCAATTATTAAATATGTAGCGTATTTTGATATTTTCTTCAGCTCAGACTCCCGTTACTGTGACCTCAGGCCAAATTCTCATACAAATTGTCACAAAAACAGGCAAGTTATCGCAAATTTGAGCTAAGCCGAATGTGAACCTTATCAAATGCGGAATACAAGCATTTGAGTATTTGTCACTTTGGATTCCTAAAGGGGACTTCTAACAAAACAAAAAAGGAGGCCTACCGGCATTAATAGCGGCATCTGTTTGAATAGCACCTCGAATGGCTCCTCCACTCGGTGAAGGTATCTCTCTGCCTAATCCACTGACCACCTGGACATCTAAATTAATCAAATAGTTGCATGAAATGCAATCATTCAATAAGTGCCAATAACCATATGCGCCTTTCGACAAAAAGAAATTGGTAGTATGAGGAGAATATTTAAAGTTTACGAAAGTAGACAATTTCCGGGTAGCATGCGGCATGAAGTGTGATGACAAATTCAAAATCACGTTACCCCTGTTGTTAGCGTGTTCTCAAATCCATAGGGATTTCCTATGGCAAAGCAACTCTGACCAACACGTAAACCACGAGATGAACCGAGAATGACAGGCTTTAGTTCAACCCCTTCAACGTCAACCTGCATAAATTAGCATTTAAACGAGATTTAGATAAAGAGTGAATTTGTCAACTACTATGTAGTGTGACGGCACCTCTGCTACCATTCGAAATGGGTGGTCACAGGATCGAACCCCGGTGGTGGGAGCATTGATTCATACTCTTTCTTGTAAAGAATTATCACATGTCGGAAGTTTGGTACGAAAACTAAGAGCTTTAGAAGAGCTTGAAACTAGTTCAACGAATTTGATCATTTAGCTATAGATCCCGTCTTTTAAAGTTATGGATCTACCAAATAGGATATGCAATGAGGAGAAAAGAAGTGATGACAACACCTTCAAGACAGCGAGATCATTTGCGGGATCCACACCAATAATCTTTCCTTCTTTAGCAATGCTATTACCTTTAGCGTCCACTAAAAATACCTATAAAAAAATATAAATAAAATTAATGAGATACATCGGTTTCTCCGGGTCTCTGACTGTTTAGGTAAGAACCAGAAAAAATATGGTCATGCCAATGCTAGAGAAAACCTTACAACGCTGCCGTCCACTTTGATCTGTTGCCAATTTAGCGACGACATGGTAATTAGTAACCTATCATAAACATACCAATGTGTTAACTCAAAATAAACATGTCCATACTCAACAGAATTACCTAATGAGCAAAAAAAATTTACACAATATATGTCGTTTAAAGAGTAAACTCAAATTCACAGAAAGAGCATTATGTTATTGCGACTAAAATCACATAAGCGTCTGGATTCTGGAATGAAGATACAGACCTACCAAACAGCTATTGCTTTAGAATTTCCAAGAAATTCAAATACATTGAGGGACAAGCTTTAGTAGCTAAGAGGAAAATCGATTGCAGATAATAATCATAAATTAAGTATTGGGAAAGGAACTGTACAATGTGACCAAACTTATCCCAAATGAAGCCAGAACCTGTTCCTTCCACCTTTGCGTTCTCATCATCTGCCAGTTCGGTCACAGCAGTGTCCTTGAAGCCTTTGGCCAGCTCAATATCCTTAATGTAAACAACCGAAGGGGATGCCTCCTACATGTTCAGTAACAAGTTCTCTTAACAGCCAAGGGTGATTCAACAAATCAAGAAATGAGAAATTTGCACAACTACACTTTGCCATTAGTCAATTGTTATACCATGGACCAGAGTTCATATTGCATTGTGAACCCTGCTCTAAAAATTATGTGTCTACAATTAAATTACTACATTCTGCACCTGCAGTTAACAATTCCTATACCTGTACACAAATTGAAGGCACATACATAGTAATTACAAACACATAACATATAACTACAGACACATAAAATGTTAACTGCAAATATAGAATATGTTAATTGGTTAACAGGAAAATACTATGTACTCCAATTTTTTACTCCCAACTTTTACTCTCTCACAAAATCTTGATGCAGACACTTGCAATGGAACCCACATGAAAAAAAGTAGCTTATCAGTGTCCGTCACATCAGGGAGTAAAATTTAGGGTGTAAGATTTGGAAGTCCATGTAGTAAAACTTTGGTTAACATGTCATATGTGTCTGTAGTTAACATATTCTGTACCTGTAGTTAATAGTTTATGTGCCTCAATGTTATGTTCTCGGGCGAAAGCACACGTCAAAGGGCGATTAGGGTTATTGGGGATGTCTATGTTGAGAGATAAATTTAAGGAACAAAGATAATAGGAACGTTTTGAGAGTTTTCCCACCTCTTGATTTTAACTTAACTTCTTTCTTGCTTGTTCTTTTATTAGAATGAAAATCCCCTTTATATAAGAGGGGGGTTACAAAGACTAGTAAAACATAAAAAGGAAAGGAAGACTAACTAAAACATAAAAAGGAAAGGAGAATCATTAAAGCTCCTTACCATAATTATTTCCTATCTCTATAGGAAATAAATCAATAAATCAATTCTAATAATAAAGATATTTCCTTAATCATATCATTACTCCCCTCTTGGACATCAAGCTTGTCCTCAAGCTTGAGAACCTCGTGCAGCACGTAGCCAATACCTCCCACGATCAAACGGCATCCCCAAAAGAAGTGCAAATGAAAAAGCCTCAAGTGGCATTCTACGAATCAATGGAGGAGCGAAGTCAGCAAACAGTGGTGAGGAAGATCCCAAACTTGGAAATCCTTTGAAGGAGGTAGTTGGAATAACAACATTAGATGATGAGGGAGACACCAACGATGAAGACTGACCAATACCATATGACACAACCCTTAAATGAGATGGGGTTGGAGAGTGGTGAAATAACCCTCCCATGCATATGACAGTTTTTGTAAAGGGCACAACCTCAATTTTAGCAGTCTTTTGTGTTGAAACCACATGAGGCTGATTGGCTGAAACAGTGGCTTGCAATGGCGCTATCTCCACATGTGGGTGCTCAACAATGATTGTGGATGGAGTGGGATCTAGCTGTGTTAGGATGACCGCTTCTGGAGTGGCGTGGCTAGCGGTAGAGTGCGTGACAGCAGTGGAGGTCGTTGGGAGATGAGGGTTCGTGACAAAGGAGTTCACAACCGCCGTGAGGTGTGCGACGGCTACAGACAAAGTATGAACGGTAGCAGGTAATTCTTCCAGTTTTTGCACGGTGGCTGGCAGGTGTTCCAGTTTCTGCAGAGATAAGTGGATGTCCCGCATCTCGTCTTGGAGCTTCCTCAATTCGCCCATATTGACGGCCCGGCAACGGAACCAAAATGTTATGTTCTCGGGCGAAAGCACGCGTCAAAGGGCGATTAGGGTTATTGGGGATGTCTATGTTGAGAGATAAATTTAAGGAACAAAGATAATAGGAACGTTTTGAGAGTTTTCCCACCTCTTGATTTTAACTTAACTTCTTTCTTGCTTGTTCTTTTATTAGAATGAAAATCCCCTTTATATAAGAGGAGGGTTACAAAGACTAGTAAAACATAAAAAGGAAAGGAAGACTAACTAAAACATAAAAAGGAAAGCAGAATCATTCAAGCTCCTTACCATAATTATTTCCTATCTCTATAGGAAATAAATCAATTCTAATAATAAAGATATTTCCTTAATCATATCACTCAATTTGTTTGAAGATACAGAAACGGTTAACTAGAGGTAGAGAATGTGGATACAGAATTTGAAGATTATTTTTGGATCAGGATATACAATACAAGGTAGACCCCTGGTCCATGGTATAATTTGCCGCCATTAGTATACAATGACAGATTGTTACCACGTTAATGTAGTAGCCCCATGGCCAAAATAAGGTCAAGAAAAAAAGGGTGAAAAATCTTTTTTTTTTTTTTTTTTTTTTTCTTGTCAACAAAACACTCCAAATTGATGAAATTGATTTCCAAATAATCGGTATTGGACCAATTCAGTCTAAAGTTTCAGACGGCAGAGATAATCTCAATTACTATTAAGAAAATTTCCTTCAATTATTACTGAATAAATACTCTTAAAACAAAAGAAATTACCAAAGCCATAAGAAAAGAACCTTTGTAAAGAATACAGATCAAACATTTTCTACAGCAGAAGAAGAGGCATACATCAAACTAAAGCAGAATCCAGAAATCAAGAAAATGCACCAAAGATTGTGATGCTATTTTCTTTACCCCTCACAGAAATACATAATATATATGCCTTGAAGTACCTGAAAGAGTTGAACAAGCCTGTCTTCCTCTTGCTGAAGCTCATCATCCACTTGTAATGCGGCAGCAGAGGAATTAGCCGATGAAGTCTGGTACAAATCAAGAATGTAAGAGGACACAACCGAAGCAGTAAAGGCGAAAGCTTTACGCCTTGTTAAGCAATGGGTGTTGCTTGAATTTGAAGAGGAAGAGGAAGAAGGAGGTGCTTGGGGCTGGTGAGTAGGAGCAGAAGGTGGATTTGGGCGTATGAGGACACAGTGGGGTGAAGACGAAAGGCCCAAGGCTACCATGATGAACAAAAATGACACTGAACAAGGATAAAATTTTTTATTTCTAAATCCCAAGAAACAGGGATAAAATTTGAGTACGTGGATTTATATTTTTGCTGCTATGTTCACTTGAAATAATTGCGTGTAGAAGTTCGTATTCTCATTCTAGGCAATTTATATCCTACACCACGGCGCGCATTGCACTGTGCGCCCAGATGCAAAACGACGTCGTTTTAATTTTTTTTTTTTTTGAAATTTCCCGCGCCAGTGAATGACAGTAATTTTTTCTTTAAAAAAAACCCGTTGTTCAAAAATATACATAATGTTATACTAGAATACACATAATTGTATACATGAATGTACATAATTATATAACAAAATATACATACTCTTTTTACAAGATAATACACATAATCTAACATAATACATAATAAATATAAACTTTTAACATAATACACATCAACTCTTAACATAATACACACAAATTTTCTGATTCGGATGTACATGATTGTATAAAAAGAATATACATAATTGTATAAAAAATGTACATAACTGTATGAACAAATACACATAATTGTGTAAACAAATACACATAATAGTGTGAACAAATACACATAATCACAACAACTTTCTACCGCGCCTCCCAAAACGACGTCGTTTTGGGAGGCGCGCGGTGCACAGTGCTACGCGCGCCGTGGTGTAGGGTATAACGATTGCTCATTCTAAGCTTCATATGTAAACTACAAATTATAGTTTGGACCATGTATCACATTGAAGTGTAAAGGGCAAATTATGCTGTGCATCCGTATGGTGCATACGGATGCAAAAATGATGTCGTTTTTTTATCAAAACACGCGTCCTACTTAAAGAAAAGAAAATTAGTTTCGATTCCCAGCAACAACATTATGTTATTCATTTTTTAGTCATTCATTCTGGATTTTTAGTTATGAAATTCTAGATGTGTAGTTATGAAGTTATGGATGTGTAATTATGCAATTCTGGATTTATAGTTATGCAATTCTGGATGTATAGTTATGAAGTTATGGATGTATAGTTATGCAATTCTGGATTTATATTTATAGTTATGCAATTCTAGATGTGCTCGATAAAGGGTTGATAATGGACTTATTTATTATTTATTATCTCAGTCAAGATTGATGGTGTAAACATCAATGAAATATATAAAGAGCTTGATAATGTCAGTTCATGTTTAAAGACTGAGACATTTGAAATAAAAAGCTTGTGAAAGCTATAAGTATTATCTCGACTTGAAGATCGAGTTTTTCTTTGAAGATTTTTTTTATATACACCAGTCAGCCTACATCTAAAAATGCTTTTTCACATGTCTATATCCATATAAGTGTCATGTTTTTATCAAACTAAAGTTTGCCTAATAATCTCTTGAAGCAGATAAGGAACCTTTTTGGACTCGAAGTCCCTTACTTCATTATCGTTGGAGCACCATTGTAGAACCAGAAGTTCCATAATCGCAACATATTTGCGATTAAATTGCTAGCAAAATCTAGTGCTCCCCTACAAATGAAGTACTTGAATAATGATTAAACATATCCTCCGGTATCTTCGAGATACAAAGACATGACATTTATGTAAGAAACCATGATACGGTTTTAATAGGCTACTTGGGTACTGGCTGTTTTGTTTGATCCCTGCAATGCCAAGTCCAAACTGGTTATACAATGAATTTCCCTAAATGTTCAAAATGAGGACAATAACACTTGTGTTGCACAAATGTTATATGAGTTCTAGAAGAGCCATAAGATTATTAGATATTTACTCTAGTGACAATCCAGAAGATTTGTCCAATCCATTTCTTCAAATTTTTAAAATATATGTAGAACTTGAAGATTGTTATCTTCAGGGGGAGACAGGAAGTACATTTACTCGAATCAATCCGGAAGATTGAATGTAAAATCCTGAAGATTATGCCGATTGTGCCCTGAAGGCTTATGGTTGTACTCTTTTTCCCTTAGCTAAGTTTTTCCCACAGGGTTTTCTTAAGTTAAGGTTTTTAATGAGGCGACCAATACAATATATGTTTTTCCATATATCATGTACTCTTTTCTTCAACTAGGTTTTTCCCACGTGGTTTTCCTAGTGAAGTTTTTAATGAGGCATGAATATATTTTCTATTGTACATTTTCTTGTCTAGGTTTTTCCCACAGGGTTTTCCTAGCAAGTTTTTATCGAAGCAAGATTGTGGACAAATAATGTCCAAGGGGGAGTGTTATAAACATATTTAGTGGACATCATTTGTAACGGATGTAACGGATGCTTTGATTGCTCATTATGTATATTTATTTATATCCTTTGTAATGGACACACCATATATCATGGTGTGGAGATGAATGAAAAGATGATCCTGACCTTTCCCTCTCCACTCTCTGTCTTTTTCTGTTTAACATTTATATTTTTAATTTGTATTTTTAAAAAATTTAACTTCTAATTTTTTATAATTATAGTGAGATTTATACTATAAATATTTTTGTGATTTATCTCAAAATTTGAATTTATTTTTATTCCAGTAATTTATTACTTATATTTAAAATATGTGTTATTTTGTGAACTTTATAATGAGTTATTATATGTAATATATTTTGTGATTTAGTTATGAAAAATATCTTAAAAGATAGTTTAGTTTTTCTATGAATTATCTAGTCAATGTAGTTTAGAAGTCATATTATGCGTCATCGTATTCGATTAAATTAATCTTTTATCCACTTAATTATGTTTCATATTTTATTATGAATATCTTTAATCACGTTTAGAGTATTTTGATTTATTGCTCTCAATAATTAAGATTTTATGCTATGCTCTTATTTGTAAGTTTTATTTTATAAATTGTTAAAAATTACTTTATTATTTATTAAAAAAATAATGTCATTTTTTATTTATTTATGAAAGCACTGGTTATTGATTATTTTAAATTTAGAAATGTATCTAGACTTATTTTCATGTGTATATATAAATGTTAAAAACTTGTGAATTTTATTTCAAGTTATTTGAAATTAGTACTTTTTTTTATTATTTAATTCAAATTTTAGTTATAAAAATATCTATTAATTTAATATAGGGCCCATCTTTGTTGCTACGCCCCGGGCCTATAAAATGATAGGACCGGGCCTGATTGATGTGTAGTTATGTAATTCTGGATGTATAGTTATGAAATTATGGATGTGATGAAATTATGGATGTGTAGTTATGCAGTTCTGATTTTTTATTTTTTTGTTAAGTTAGACGTCAGAATGACGTCGTTTTTGGATCCGGATGCACTATGCATGGTGTATACGGATGCACAACATAACGATTGAGTGTAAAGTATTAATAAGGGTGACTTTGTAAATCATTTTTCTGGTTTTCAGTGTTTGGCTAGAGGGGGAAAATGGAAGTTAATGGAAAATAGAAATGTAGTCAATGAAAAATAGATGAGATTTTACGAAAAATGATTTCCTCTTTTAATTTTATAATATAGATAATTATAAATATTAAAAGAAAATTATTTTTGAAAAAGGGTTTAATAAGATTAAATTTAACCAGCTTAGTTGGCGTGAGTGGGGCACTTTTGTCCCTTAAGAGGGTGTCGGGAGTTCAAACCCCCTCTCGTATGGAAAAACTAATATGGTCAGCACTTTGCCCGATAATTGGGCTGAGCTGGTGCGAAAAAGAATTAGTTTGAGTATAGTACGGGTTTAAAGGTGCCTCCTACAGTTAGAATCTGCTCAAGACTGTAATGTTTTCCGGTTATCATTATTATTATAACTTAGCTAGACTTCCCTTATGCTTAGCAGTCTGGTTACAGTTTAGGAGACCTAAAGACATTCAACCACAATGATGGTCAGTGGTTATATAAGGTCACTAGTCCTCTCATTGCTCACATTACATATACCTCATACACCATCTAGAGAGAGTTGAGTAGAAGTGAGAGACAAAATACTCGTGCAACTCTACAGCAATTCAAATCATTCAACCATCATCAATACAAGAGCTATGGCTGGAGGTTAGTGCGATCCTATTGTCACACATTATGCAAGGCCGGATCTACAATGGGGGCAGTGGGGGCAGCTTCCCCCACTCACCCCACCCCCACCCCATATATAACCCTTGTATGTATATATAGTACAAGGTTTAGTATAAGTAAAAGAAAACAGTTAATTTTAACAAAATATAAGTTAGCCTAGATGGTAGAGAATGTATGTTTGCCTATGGAAGGTCAGGGGTTTGATTCTGCTATTTGAATAACAGTGCTGTCAAAACAGTTCGCATTTCAAAATATATGTATATACTTTTATATCTGAAAGTTGATTTTAGGGGTGATGTTTTAGTGAGTGTTGTCCTCTAGGAATGGCTATAAGGGAATTGAGTAGGGAGGGGTTAAACACAAGATTATTAAGTGTTTGAAAGCTAACCAAAATGGAATATTCGTTTGCATAGAGACAATTTTAAAACAACTAAATGATTAAGTAGTGGACAAGGATACAAGAGAGGACTTAGATTAAATAGCAATGTACAAATTCTTCTTAGTGTTCTAAATTCTAAGGCAAACAAAGATCAATAATGAAAGTGAAGGCGTTTAGCAAGTGCCAATGCCATTCTCATGGTCATTGGGCTATCACCTAAGTTCTAATTCCATTCTCATGGCAAATAGACTAGATGAGGCAATTAATCAAATACCTTGTGTGTTATATCCCTTCCAACTCCCCTTTCTCAATAGTGAGTTAGAATTGTTATAGGTTTGGCTATGGTGAACCCCTATTCTCATAGGTGAAGCACCAAATCCAAAATCTCCTTACAAAGTTGGGCCCTAACCAAGCAAGAGTTAAAACATTTTACCAAATTCACAATCAAATTCATCCTAAAGATATTGCACGCCCTAGGTTTTCCAATTTAATTCATGTTGACATTCATACAAAGCAATTCAATCTAAATCCCTAACTAGTTTAACTACTCATAACGAAATTGATAAACTAAGAGCAATTAAAGTAATGCACAATGAATTTGACTTCAAAAGTAATTTGTAAAGTACAAAAATAAGAAATAGATAGAAATCCTTACTTTATTGAATTTGTAGAATGTAAATCTGAAATTAAAAGTGAAAGTTGCAATTACATACGGTAATCTCCCTCTAAATCTTCTCC